CCCACCTGGGAGGCCCACCCAGACCTCTGCTGGCCAGGTGCTGGGCCTGGGATGGAGCCACAGTTCAGCTGAGCTACCTCCTATAACACAAAAAACAAAACATTCCCCTGCCCCTCCCGACCAGCTGCCCCAGACAGGGATTGCAGACCTCAGTTCCCAAAAAGAGGGAAGTTTTAAAGAGACAGAAAATATCTTTTGCTGTTTTTTGCCCCAGGCCATTCCCTCTGTTACAGGTTCATATTCTCTCACTTCTCTCAAGATACCAGGGTGGACAGGGAATGAGGAAGCAGTAACCTGGGCCGTGAATACAGTGGCATGTTTGTCTCGCTGCTGCTCATGGCCACACGGAAAATTTGCAAGAGTGTCTATTAATAGATCTGGACCCCACCCACTGTTCCCAGTTTGGTGGAACTTTGCATTTTCAACGTGAGGAGTCAGGGGAGTTATAATCACATTTCAGGAAGCAGGAAAGAATTTATGTAGGCTCTACATTCTAAGTGGAGAACAGACCGTGGTGCTACAAGCTACAGACCTCAGAGTAGTCAGAAGAGGATTTTCACGTAAGCCTGTACCTCCTCTCCCTATAGGAGGCTGCTCCAGCCTTTGCCTGGGAGCCCCGGCAGCCCCACTCTGCCTAGCCCTGCTGTGGCCTGGAGTCCTTTTGGAGCATGGATGTGTGACCAGAGCAGAGGCATAATGCTCTTAAATTTCTGCAACCTGGCCCCCACCTGTGCTCCTGTGACCTGCTCAGATGGGGCCCAGCACTGACCCAGGCCACAGCCTACCGTCTTGCCTTTGTCAGGGCTTCCTCTGCAGCCTGGCAGTGTGCCCTGCCCACCCTGGTCCCTGCTTCTGCGCCAGGGCCCTGGCCTCTGCTCACATCTCACTCTGCAGGACTTGGGCATCACCTGCTCCCGCCATGCCCGGCGCCAGACCCGCTAGCTCTGGGTGCCACTTCCTCCCTCATGCTCACCCAGCCATGTGCCCCAGAAATCCAAGGCGGAGGGTCTGTTGGCTTTTCGTGGAGAATCTAGTGTGCCTGAGCGGTAGGTAGATACTCAAGTGTATTTTAAACACAGGCTCTTTTCTAGCCTTTGGGATTGAAATCTAACCTTTGGAATTTGTGCAACCCGTGGCCACCTTTTTGGAAAACATAGTGGAAGATGGCAAGGATTGGAGTAAACCACTGACCATGCCCATGGGTTTTCTGTAAAGAGCATTTGAGGTTTTGGTTTTGTTTTCAGTTACCGTTCCTATACACTCTTATACCACTAGGGGGAGATGGTTAATCACTGATTGGAGTTACTGGCACCATTCCCTTCCATAGGTACGTGAAGTAAGTAGATTTGCTGTTTGATTTTAAATAATTGGTTGGCTGCACGTGTGCATGGCTGGTTGCAGGTAGGAGGATAGAGTGGTAAGGCCCACTGCCACACCCCCCATCTGGACCCGCTGTCCAGCAGCCCTCTGGACCATGACTGAGAACAAATACGTACCAAGGAGGTGACCGTCCCCGGTAGCTAGAAGACATTGCAAAGGAAAGAAACTGAAATCCACGTTCTCTGCCCACAGGAGAGCCCCAGGACGGCCTTTCAGAAGCGGGCCTGAGACTTCACCGCATGATCTCCACGTGCCAGCAGACCCCCTGCGGGAACGCCACACACGATGACGTTGTGTTCATCATCATGGTGACCTCAGTCGTGAAGAAAAGATTACACGGTTTCATATATTCTGCTTAACAAAGACATAGGTAACAGAGACGTACATGATGTATTTCAGAAACCAAATAGTTCAAACAAAATCTGGGATTCTTTCAGTAGGGTTAGCCCTGCCCGAGCTTTCTTTCAAGTCTTGTCTAGGAAGCATAGTGTCTGAGCGACTCATTCCTGAAGACGCACACATGCCTGATCCTCACAGTACGTGTCTCCCCAAGACTTGGTGACACAAGTGTCCTTGTGCTTTGTTCAGTGCCCCACTCTGTCGTGGGCCCCGAGGGGAGAGACGGCTGGTACCAGCGTGACTTCAAGGACCCTCCGCTGCCAGAAACAGCAGCATGACCAAGGTGTGAGGGAGTCCCTGAGTGTAGGTGTCGCCTGTGTCAGGGTGAAGCCAGGGATCGTCACCGGGAGACAGCCTTCCTCCCTTTCTCCTCTTTTACTGCCTGGAATGCTAATGCAATGGCTTGTTCAGCAGCCATTTTGGACTACGATGTGACTTTGAGGCCTGAACCAAGTCTAGGAAAATGGAGTAAAAAGATAGAGCCCTGGGCTCTTGGTGACCACGGATCATCATGTCACCCCTGACCTGACTCCCTGGCACTTCTTATTTTTGGTGGTGCTGGGGTTCATTCTATTTTGTTGACATCTCTGTGGACTATTCGTAGTCCAACCAAATCCTCGCCGACACATGGAGTGAGGTAGAGATGGGTGCAAGGGCTTTCTGACAGGACAACTTGGGTTCTGGTTGTGACCCTCCTGTTACTACTGTTGTGTACATGCCCAGGTGAGTTAGCTATGGCCCCAGCCTTGTCTTCGTTTGTAAAATGAGCTCAATGATTACTGCCCTGCCCGCTGTATGAGGTGGTTGTCTGAACTGAATGAAGTCAAGCGTGTAGAAACAGTTTGCATGTGGCAGAATGATCACAAATGGAAGGAGTGTTTTCCCCCTCTGTTGGCACCTCAGCCCCGAATAGCCAGGCAGGCTCCACCCAACATGGATGGATTGAACTGTGGGTAATGAGCTCTCTTTGCTTATTTCCCTTCTGCCTCGTCCTGGGTCCAGCACCATTGCCTAACACTCCCCTCCTTCGGAGTCACCTGGTCCATGGGTGGGGATGGGATGGTGGTTGTTAGTGACCGTGAAGGCCAGAAAGGACTGGATATTTGATCAACCAACAACTCAGAAGGAGAACAGCCCCACCAACGTCATCGACTCTTCCAGAGGACTGGTCTACGGGTGTGTGGCCCAGCCCTGTGTTGTTGTGTGTTGGCACCCACTGTTGTTAAGTACAGTGCACTAAATGTGGCTGTTGCCAAAGAGATTCTGGGCTATCCTCACCAGCCTCCCTGCCCCACCCCCACCAGAAGAAACCTCTTATTATTAATATTATTAATTCCCTAACCTATTGCAGATGGTCCTAAAAGAAATGCCAGAGAACAAAGTTTCCTTTGATCAAAGTATCTTAAGATGTGTCTATTCTTATTACATCCTGGTGATAAAAAGGAGCAAAAGTTTTCCTCAAAGAGTAGAAAGGAAATGAGGTCAGTGACATTAGGTTTAATTGTGGACACATTTGCTTCAACCTCAGCACGGACTGTAATGATAAGAGCTTCAGTTTCTTGAGCACTCGGTAGGTGCCAGACACAATGTCCTGGCTTGGCATGAGTTACACCATTTTACAGGCGTTAACCTATTTTACTAACGAGTTAATTAAGCCTCAGAGAAGTAAAGCAACTTACCCAAAGTCTCATAGCATAGTAAACTAGAAACTTGAGATTCCAACTAGGTCCATCCGATTCCCAAAGCCCAGTGCACCTTCTGTTGCTTTCTGCTGGAAGTTTCCACACTTAGTATAAAGTGGCATTTCTTAATTATGGGTACAATCTTATGTAACTAAATTGCACATTAAAGATAGGGCTTTTGATCTCCCTGGTTATACTGATGTTCTCTTTCCTCTGCTGGCTTTTCTAATGACTAAACACGGTCTCAAAGGAATAAAACCCTAAGCCTGTTTTGTTAGATTGTTTTGGTTTTCAAACAAACATAGCTCCTGTTGGTTCATCTTGTTCATCTGATAACCTAAAAACATTCCATTTTTTTTTTTCTCACTGCAAAATAACGTGTCTTTAAAAGATATTCTGCCTCTTCCTCAGTTTGGTGTCGAAATACTTTTGTGTTGTGGTGTCCAGCTGCAGATGGCGGTTTCGCCAGCTGACGACTGGTGTGATATCAGAGGCCAGCCTTACACCATGTAAATTATGGGAGTGAGGAAGGGAAAGCTGCGCTCCAGTAACTAAGCTAGGCATGGTGGTGAGGGGCGGCTTTGGAATCTGGTGGCCTTGGTGACATTCCGACATCTCAGTTTCCTCATCTGTACAATTGGAAAAATGAGAGCACCCACCTGATAGGGTTGTCGTGAAGATTAAATGAGTTTCCCATTAGTGGAGAGGCAGCGTGAATAACGGCTCTAAGTGTGAACTCTGCATTGAGTCTCTCTGTGCCTCAGTTTCCCACATCTATAAAATGTAGATTACAATAGTTCCTGCATCATAGACCGTTGTGAAGATTAAATGTGTTAAGCACGTGTAGGTGTTAGTGCTTATTACTTGGGAACTCTGGGGAGGTGTGGAATATATGTGATGTGGGGCAAAGCACACTCATGTCCCCAAACTCAGGCCACCTACACTTGGGCCCACACAGTGACAGCACATTGAAGGGATCAAGGAAGTTTGAATACTATTCCTTACTCTCGAGGAACTTCAATCCTAAAATATACATGGAATAGAGAAAAAGACCACACAAATACACACAATAGAAGTTGTTTCTCCAGGTTAATTGCCAATGAGAAATCCAGTATTTCAATGGGCAGAATAAGACTTTGTTTGGCATTCGTGGTTGGCTGCATAATGGTCCCCAAAGGTATCCAGGTCTTACTCCCTGGAACTTGTGAATGTTACTTTATGTGGGAAAAAAAAAGTCTGCATATGTGATCAAATTAAAGATTTGGAGATGTGAAGATGATGCTGGATTATCTAGGTGGGCCATAAATACAATCGCAGTTGTCCTTGTAAGAGGGAGGCAAAGGGAGATTTGACACAGAAGAGGAGAAAGTGGTGCAGCCACAAGCCAAGGACGCCGACAGTCACCAGTAGCTGGAAGAGGCCAGGGAACAGATTCTCCCCGAGCCCCGCAAGGGAGCACCACCCTGCCAACACCTTGACCTTGGCTCCGTGGAATGGATTTCTGACTGCTGGGGGAGAACTCCAGAACCGGGGGAGAATAAATTCCTGTTGTTTTAAGCTTGTGGTAATTTGTAACAGCAGCCAGAGGAAATGTGTACAGTACCATTGGCTGTCAAGTGGGATCTGCAACACCTGAAACCTTGTGGTTCTGTGTGGTTGGCTGTTTGCGTGCATACTAGGGTTCCTTTTTGTCACAATGACAAAATGCTGCAGAAGTCCACCACTCAGTCACTGAAAAGCATTGAACATCTATTTTCATCTGATAAAGTCTTTCTGAATAATACCCGGGAGGCTCAGGAGAGAAGGAAGACAAGCAAAGAAAATGATGCTGTCTGTGCCTGGTTCTCAGGAATTGGCCTCACAGTCTTATAGCCGTCTGTTAGGAGTTAGCTACAAATTTCCACAAGTTATGTTCAAGTAGTGTTTATTTTTTGTGAGCCATTTTTCAGGTTCACAGCAAAGTTGTGCAAAAAGTAAGGAGTTCCCGTATACCCCTCCCCTACACATGCAGTCTCCCTCCCTAGCGACACCCCATGGAAGTTATTCTTTACACACCTCAGGATGATTTCTTCTATTGTAAAATTACCACCTGAACATATTTACACAGGAGCGAATTTTATGACATGTTTAATAGTGGTCTGGCCGTTTTCTATAAAAGTGAAAAATACAACCACAAATCCTCACAACTTACAACAGCAGCAACCCCAAACTTGAACAGGGGGTGGTTGTACCAGCTGCAGGTGGCTTGGCTACAGGCCCTTGAGCTGAAACTCCATGGCAAAGTCTAACACCCTTCTGTTGGGATTCTTGGAGTTGGCTGGGAGGTTGGTTGGATAATGGGGTTCCATGGACCCTCATCATGGCACCTGTTCACTCACCAAGTCCTGCTGCAGCCAACCATTGTTGTATCTCTCCAGGTCCCTTGCTGGGACCACCAACTCGCCTTGGAGGGTCTAGATGAGGTCCCACCTCCTCCCATGCCTCACTCACCTTCTACCACCTTGCTATCAAGGAAGGATGGAAAGAGTTTTGCTTGGCCACTGTCTGGACAATGTCCCTTGCTGATGGCAAGCTGGCTCCCTGTGGATTATTTTGTTGGGTGAAACTGGTTGGCACACTACTTAATTTTCACTTTTTTTTTTTATTATTTGTAGAGATGGGCTCTCACTATGTTGCCCAGGCTGGTCTCAAACTCCTGGCCTCAAGCAATCCTCCCACCTCAGCCTCCCAAAGTGCTGGGATTATAGGTGTGAGCCACTGTGCACAGCCAGTTTTCACTTTTTATTGCAGCTGCACGATGGTTCTCCTTTTCTCTTAGACCTAAATTTTGACCACACGACATTTAACCCTGCTCACCCCTGCTCACCACCATCCTCCTTTGGGCTGGGTTAGCTCTAATCCTCCCATTAACAAAGCCCTCAAAGTGGCCTTAATAGGATGAGAGTCAAGATCCCTCATTTACCAACAAGCTTTAATGAAACCTCCAGTAAACTCAAAGTGATTTGCTTACATCCTTAGGAAGCCCTCAGTCCTTGCAGCACCCTGTGAGGTCGCTGTTGCAGTATCTTTGGCCACGGTGCTCTGGACTTGAGCTCCACAAAGTTGGTGGTAAAGGCCATACACATAACAGAGTCTCACTGCTTATTGGAGGAATTGCCCTTAAGAAAATTTCCCAAGATAGTAGTTTTCCCATCTCCGTACTTTGTTAGTTAATATTTTCCACTTGCTTGGGTTTACCCTTGCAATCCCTTTGCTAATTAAATCACTGAAAAGTATATACTGGTACGAATAGATACTGTCAATGGACTGCAAACAAAACTCTTTTCTGTTATTGATGATAAACCATTTCAGAGAAGACCAGGCTGAGTCTAAAGGGCTCAGGTAATTACAAGGGGACGGCAGAGAGAGTAGTTCATGGCCACAGGACTTGGCCACCTCTGGGCAACACACAATGCTTGTTAAGCTAATGACCTTTGGGACATAGGGCTGGACCTCAGCCTCTCTGTCTTCCTCTGGCCTCAGCTCCTCCTGCAGCCTTCTGTCTTTGACCACGATGGCACACTTCCCGTAGGCCTTTCTCACCTCTTCACAGAACTCAGAGAAGAGGTTATCTTCTTGTTTGTTACACAGCTCATCTCTTAGGAACACCCGATATTTCCAAGGCACCCATCCTTGACTACCACCGGCATGCACGATACACCAGTTTGGAGTTTGAATGAAATATCCATCACTAAAGTCTTCCCCCGTCACAAGACTTTCTGGAATGTTGGTTTCCCCAAAATATACAGTCTTAAATCCATCAGATTGCAGCATTCTTAGGGTTTTCAGATATTGGAGGCATTGCTTCCTCCTGATGCTATCAAATTGACTTCTGATAATGATGTTTCTTAAAAGAGGGTTTGCAAAGTGAGGCATGGTGGCTTCTCAAGTGGTTTTAAAAGCTTGCATGTCTTCATCTGGGGAGGTCTGGCCAGCGGGGGATGATGACCTCATAAAGGGCTTTCTTACAGCTGCATCAGTCCCATAGATACATTTTGGACTTCAAAGCATCATGAAATACATACTCAGAACAACTCCCTGCTTGCCCACATGATGTGGGAATGGCAGATGGTATCCACAGAAAATGCTACTTTGACATCACTTCTGCAATAGGTCTGGGACAGAGGTTGGTAGTCTTTTAACAGTAATGAGCCAAGCGTATGGCCCCTACACGTGTTCATTAGAGGGAGAGAAATGTTTACATTCATTTATCCATTCCAAGAATAGTGACTGAGCACCTTCTATGCTCCAGGCATTATGCCAGGTACCAGGTACATAGTCAGGACATGTCCAGGGGGGCCTGGACTTGGGTGGTGTGTGTCTGTGTGTGCATAGAGTTTGTGTAAAACCACAATCAAGAGTGGTTTTTTCCAGACGACAGAGGAGGGTATGGTAAAAAGCAAAAGGAAGTCAGCCTGCACTCCTATCTTCCACTGGGGTTGCCAGTTTTTGAGCGAATTCAATGCCCCATTTAGAAAGCACTTTTAACCTTATATACACGGGCAAAGTGACAGTTTGCTTCACTCTCTAGAAGTCTCTTCAATTTCCTTTGTATTTTCTTGTCCCCTTAATCAGAGCTAAAGGCATTTCATAATGTGCACAAGGGATTCTCTCTAATGAAGACATGAACAAGATGATTTTTCAGGGCCTCTGTTCTATTGTCGAATGCACGAGGATTTTTCCCCACGTAAGAGTTTTCTTGGGACTCAAGTTTGGAAGACCCCAGACAGTAAGACCATCCCATCATAGTAAAGCCACCATGAGGAATGTGGTCTCCAAACAGCCTCTCCCAGGGGCCAGGATCAGCAGGTTTGGGTTGATAATGGCCTTGTGGTCATTTTCTCTTAGGATTTTTCTTTTAGTAGTGGAAACCATTTTTAGACCAAATTTGCTATGGATGCCAAATATGTAGAAAAGAATTGTGTAGAAAAGCTTTGGTAGAAGTGGTGATGGTGGTCCTAGTGTCCCCTTGCTCAGCCACCCCCATTTTTCTCCCCACTCCAAGGACAACAGTGTGAAATACTGTGTAGCGCAGTGGATCAATTCTAGGACAATTCTTTGCCTCTCTCATCCAATTTTCAGTTTTGGATATGAGAAACTTGTTCAGGTGTATAGAAAAGTATAAATATTATGTTATCTTTTGTGTGTGTGTAAATATGCGTATATATGCGAGGTGCTTATATGTTCAAGCAGAAACCACAGAAGACTAAAGCAAACACTAATTAAAATGCTTACCTTATAAGAAGGGGGGGAGCAGGAGGGAGGAAAAAAGTAATTCTAGGCTTCTCTGAATATACCTTGTTTTATAATTTTAATGGAAAATGTCAACATTTTATATATTTTTTTAAAAAGGTAAATCAAAAAGAAAAATAAAACAAGTGACCGCTAAATGATACAAAATAAAACAGAAACCAATTAATCTAGCTACTCATCATGTGAATAACAAAATCACAAAGACATGAATTTATTTCACATGACCCTACAACACAATATTTGGATTATCTATTCCCTCATGGGATATACTCTGAGAACAAAGAAAAACACATGCAACTCGAAGCAGTATTCAGTAATTTTATTGTTACTGATAGTACCGGTATTATTATTGTGAAACTCATGTCTGTATTATCATAAATAAAATCACTTATGATAAGTAATTATGTTAATGTTAGATTTTCAGTCTAAAATGATATGAATGTAAAGCAATTGACTATATCAGTATTAAATAATGATTTATTTTTCTCTTCTAAAAATATTTGTTTCCTACCTCTCTCTGCTGAAAAGACTGAGAAGCAAAAGCCACCCAGTAGCGATGAGTAGAGACCCCAGACTGTGGTCTCTAAGTATCATTTCCTCTCAAGGAATCAGGGATTCTTTGATTCTGGGTCTGAGGAGGGAAATGCACAGATGAACTTGAGGCATCTCATGCAGCCTGAAAGCGAGGAAGTCACCAAAGACGACCGGGTTCTGCAGAAAGAACCCAAGAGCTGATGAAGAGCAGCTCCTATTGGCCAAAGATGGAAGAATTTGAGCATCGATCAGTAATCAATAAACAAACAATGACTTAATAAATTCAAGCAGAACAAATATATAAAAATCTGTGAGTTTGCAATGGTACAAAAAAAAATCAAACGAACAAAAAAAGTACTCAAAAAACTCTTCAGTCACCTTTGGAGGTACCTTTGGGGGGCACCATCGTATTATTGTGTTGATTAATAAACAGAAGAATCAAACACTTATCTTGCCTTTCCTGGTGTGGCTTCTATGTCAGAATGGGAAATGCCAGGACGGAGAGTCCAAGCAGGTGTCAGGCCAAGGTGTTGGGGGTGAACGTGACCCCAGGGAGCTATGTGGTGAAGCAGAGGTCAGCTGAGCACTGGAGCGTGAGCAGAGGCTCTGGCACTGCACACGCCCAGGGTCACATCTCAGCTAGATTCCTCACCAGCCTCTGCTTCCCTGTCTGTAAAATGGGAGAATATCTATGTCAAAGCACAGAGGTGAGGACTGATGCGGTAGCAGACCTGACCTGCTGACTCTGAGCTTAGTAGACGGCTGCCATTATTGCTGAGAGAGACTGGCTGGGAAGACGGCCCCAAGAGAGTTGGGCAGTGACTCTGCAGGGACAAGGAAATGTGACGGGAGGGAGCAGCAAACAAACAAACCAACAAAAATTCAAGACAAAGGACCAGCGTTCAAATGAAATAAATGTCTTCCCAGGGCAAAAATGGAAAATGTTCCCTCCCTCACTTCCCTCCTTCCTTCTTCTGTTTCTCTCTCTTTCTCTCTATTTCATCAACAGATCTTGAGCTCCTTCAGGTTCCAGGCTCTGCCTAAATCTTGAACGACGGCAGAGTCCCCACCCTCAAGGAAGGTGCCATCTAATGGGAGAGAAGAAAGGTCAACAAAGGCCCCAACACGAGTAGATGGGCCTGGCGGTGGGCAATGGGCCCCCCAGAAAGGAGACCTTGCTCAAAGCGAATCCAGTTTTAGCAGAAGAGCCCTGCTAAGTCAGCTTAGCAAGTACCCCTGCCCTTGATACCTGATCACTCTCAACATCTGATCAGGTTTGTCATCCTCCACCCACGCCCCAGGTGACTTCTGGTCACCCTGGCCTGTCTTCTACAAAAATCCTGTTAGATCACTTTAGCCAGAATCCTTCTTCCCCCTGGTGCTTCCTCTTAGTAATTTTCCATCCCTGCCCCCCACCCTGCTCCTTGGCTATAAATTCCCACGTGCCCATGCTGTATTTGGACTTGAGCCCGATCTCGCTCCCCGACGGCAAGGACCCGCTGCAGTGGTCCCCGTACCTACTGCCATAGTCTCCCCCTTGAATGAAGTCTTCCTCATGGTGCTCTAACAATGTCATTGAATAATTTTTCTCTAACACTTCCCTAGACCCCAGTGATCGTGCAGTGGATGGTGGATCCTGAGGGGACCGAGACCAGCAAATTCGAAGGTTTTTCTGTTGATGGGGCGGACGGGGCTGAGCAGAGGTGCAAAGAGGTGACTGCAAATCAGGGCAAGGGACCAGAGGGTGTTTAGAGTGAGGTCACAGGTGCTTTGTTTATATGCAGTCTGTGAGCTTCCTGTTTGCTAAGTGTTCTGTTCTGTTCATTAAACCTCTACACGTACCTGGGGGTGAGCAGACTTTCTGGTCTTTCAGGTATCCCCAGTGTTCAAAAACAATTAATTAAGAGGCCATTAGGCTGAGACAGCTCCAGTGCCTTGAGTTCCGGTGTAAACAAACTGAAGCTCAACCCACTGTAAACAGTAAAGCAAAACTTAAGCTTAACCAATCAGAAACCTCCAAACTAACCTCTAACCAGGGATGTCCACTTTAACCCATCAAATATATTTTCTTTGTCTTGCTCCTGAGAACACTTAGAAGTTTCCCCTTTCCCCCCTTCAGTGGAGAGTTCAACTGCTTGTGGTCTGATGCGGCCGGATTCATGAATCCTTACATGCTCAAACAACCTCATTGACACTTCAATGTGCCTGAGTTTATCTTTTGACACCAGAGGGCTACAGAGGGGGTGGGTAGTGGGAAAGGAAGGATCTGTTAACCTGTGAGAATTGATATCTTTAAGATAACTTACTCATTAGCTTTTACGTTGTAAACACATGTGTGTGTGTTGTAAGTAATTTCCAGCCAGACAGAATCACTAGCTCCTGTTCCATTCCATCCTTCTGCTGCACTCACTAGGGGGAACCACTGTTAGAATTTGTTCTGTGTTTATCCACTCTTTTGCCTGGATATACAAGTGTAGATAAACATCCATCTAATAGATGTTTAATTTTTAAAAAATCATACCCCATATTTCGTTCTGTAACATGCTTTTGTAAACATAACGATAAATCACAAACATATTGCCATGTCATTAGCACTGAAAAACTCCATTCTTTTTAATGTACTCATTGCATGGACGGGGCACATACTATTTGATAAATCCCTTATTTTGTGGGTATCTGGATTATGTCAAGGTCTTTGCTGTTCCAAGCACTGCCCCCAGAAGCCCCCCACACACCTTCCCCATCAGAGTGTCTCCCTCGGCCCCACGAACCACTATTATCTGCTTTTCTAGAAAAGATTTCTTTACTTCTAATTCTCCTCCACTTCCCAGGCAACCAAAATTCTATGGTGGAACATTGTAATGTGTTTAATTCATTTAAATTAACTTCATATAATTGAGAGATCAAGTTTGTTCAGTTCAAAGACAGAAAGTTTTTTTTTTTTTTTTTTTTTTGAGACAGAGTCTCATTCTGTTGCCTGCTGTGGCGTCAGCCTAGCTCACAGCAACCTCAAACTCCTGGACTCAAGCGATCCTACTGCCTCAGCCTCCCAAGTAGCTGGGACTACAGGCATACACCACCATGCCCAACTAATTTTTTCTGTATATTTTTAGTTGTCCAATTAATTTCTTTCTATTTTTGGTAGAGATGGGGTCTCGCTCTTGCTCAGGCTGGTCTTGAACTCCTG